CGCATGAAGCTTCCTAAATGTGCGTGTTCCACCTGTCCTGACCTCACAGTCCCACCCATTCTCCATCTAGCCCCTCCCCACTCCCCGGGGTTCCAGATCTCAACCAACCCCCTAGTGCTCTAGTCCTTGAACCTGAACTCATGCTGTCTGTCCTCTCTGCCCCACAGCTGCCAAACCTGTCAGCCAGATGCGGATGGCTACTCCCTTGCTGATGCAGCCACTGCCCATGAAAAGCATGCTCCACGGGGTAAGGAAGGTGACAGGAAAGAAATGCTATCTGGTCTAGGCAGAGGGCAGGTGCCAAGGGGGGGGGCAAAGGGTAACAGCTGACAAGGAAGCCAGGTCCTAATTGCTGAAAAGGGGCAGGGTCCACCTCAGAGAGGCTTGCCAGGGTGAAGGAGGCCAGAATTCGTGCGGCTACCCTGACGTGGAGAGGACAAGTCCTACAGCTTGCAAAGTGCCTCTTACCTGCCACAGTATCCTCTAGTCCCTCACCTCCTCCAAGCCTCTGAGCAATGTTATGCATAAAACTACTATTCGTACCTTCCCCAGGGAAGAGCACACCAATTGCTTGTCCAGTGCCAAATGGTCAGCCCTGAAAAATATACATACAGGTAGCATTATATAAACCGAACATGCTTTATTTAGGAATATACAGTATATAAATATATATGCAAGCAATAACAACAAATGAAAAAAAGAGGCTATGAATTTGAAGAAGAGAAGGGAGGGGCATATGGGAGAGTTTGGAAGGAGAAAAGTGAGGGGGCTGAATATAGTAATTAAATTATAATCTTAAAAAAAGCAAAAACTTCTATTGGCAAGGCCATAAAAATCTTATGCCAGATTGACCAGTGAGGACATGGAGGCAGAAAGGGAGTGAGTAGCTGGAGCTCCCATGTTAGGTGGCAGAGCTGAGCTGGTGAGTGCATGGACCTGACTCTTACTAGACTCCCGTTGCCCCTCCCCCAATCCCACTTCTCAGTTAGCGCTGCTAACTCTGTTCCCCTTTCCACAGCCTGTGCAAAATGTTACCAAGTATGGCAACATGACCCAGGACCACGTGATGCACCTGCTACTGGTGAGTGTCAGAGCCAGTGGGCAGCCCCATGGTCTACATAGGACCCTGACCCTCACTCACATGCTATATAAACTCACTATGTAAACTCAACATCTTCTCACCCCAAGGAATATAAGGTGGCCCTTAAATATTGCATATAGTCCAACCCCCTCCCAATATAAGTGTCTATATAGTCCTGGAACTGGCTATGCTATGTAGACCAGGTTGACCTTGCACTAGAAGAGATTTGCCTGCCTCTACTGGGTGCATCACTATGTCTCTAGCCTCCTCATTTAGAGAGAGAGAGAGAGAGAGAGAGATTGATTTATTATGTATATAGTGTTTTGCCTGCATGTATGCCTGTAGGCCAGAAGAGGGCACCAGATCTCACTACAGATGGTTGCACATTTCCCTTTGGGTATCATGGAGTTCCATGTAACCACCATGTGGTTGCTGGGAATTGAACTCAGGATCTTTGAAAGAACAGTCAGTGTTCTTAACTGCTGAGCCATCTCTCCAGTCCCGGCTCCCACAGTTTTGAATCAGAAAAATTAAGGTCCAAGTCTTGGATGTGACTTGGTCATGATATCCCATTCTCCTTCCAAAATTAATATCTCACACGCCTGCTCTGGGCTGGGCACTATGCAGGGCTCTTGTCTACAACAGGGAAGCAACTTTAACACACATGACCAGGTAATGAGTGGCGTGCAGCTGGCTGTGAGGATAGGCAGAGGAAGGACCCAGTCTATCTTGGGGAGCTCAGGAAGTCTTTGGAGATGAGGCCTTCCGAACAGGCAGATGTCTGTGGGAAGAAAGCTAGTGCAGCTGGCAAAGCTGGCCTGGACCCTGCCAGGAGCTACATAGCTGGGTGGCCCTTGTCCCTGCTCTCTATCACCAAAGCTAGGGTTCACGTTTGCTATGGCTAACATCCATTCCTCAGAATGAAGACCTGGGAACACGGGGTGTACATTCCCTTTGGGTATCATGGAGTTCCATGTAACCTTCCTCTTGCCTTGCCACTCTGCAGAGGTCTGGACCCCTGGATTACCCAAAGCTGAAGGGGAGCTTCCCAGAGAACCTGAAACACCTGAAGAACTCTATGGATGGGCTGAACTGGAAGGTGAGCAGCTTTTGTTGTCTCTTTCTGCGGTAGCCTCAGGACTAGAAAGTGGTGAGGGGTGGGTTAGGGGAGCTGTTCTCTGGGCTACAGGGGACCAAACACCCACAAAAACCCTGTGAGTCTTTAAGAGGCACCCAGGCTGCAGTTGAACTCCAGATGTTGGGGCTGTGTGAACCTCCAAGTTTGGTTGTTGGGTAAAGTCTGGAAGGGTAGGGTGTTGACCCTTGAATCTGATAACCTGCCTCTATTCTCATTAGGTCTTTGAGAGCTGGATGAAACAGTGGCTCTTGTTTGAAATGAGCAAGAACTCCCTGGAGGAGAAGCCCACTGAGGCTCCACCTAAAGGTACCAGGATGGGAGCTTCAGGGTGCCGGGGCCCCCTGGAGCTGCTGAAGTTAGGGATCCATCACTTTCAAGGGAAGCTTGCACAACTCCCCACCCTCTCAGCTCACTGTCTCTTCTTGCCTGGTCTTTCAGGCTTTCGAACGCCGGACATGCTGTTTGTGGGTCTGTTCTTTCACACACATACCCAAAGTATAGAGACCTTTTGTTTCTCTGTGTTGAGCAAAACCAACTCCAAACATACTAGGCAGAAGTCCTAGGAAGGACACCTCCCAGCACTAGCTCAGCACTCGAGAAGGCAGAAGGCCAGAGTCACTGAGTGCCCAGGGCCCTAGGCACTTCTCTGTCACTAGCCATTCCAGCACACAGGAAGCTGGAGACCTAAAGCATTGGGGTTGCCTTGTTTTTTTATCTTTTATCTTTTATCTCTTACTTGCTGTGCAGAGATGGGTAAGCCTGTCCCACTGGGCTTCTGTGTCCCACAAATACAAGGCTAGTGGCCCATTCTGCCCTGGACCTCAGTTCCTCTGATACATAGAAGAGAGCTTGCCTGTGACCTCAACCAACTTCTAGCTAATTTTTTGAATCCCTTTTTCAGCCACCATTTATACTTGGGTTATCCCAGTAACAGGAAAGTCTGGCTCCCAAAGGTGTCCCCATTACTGTCTCCCAGAAACCACAATCAGGAGGCGTAATTACTAACTGTAATAGAATATGAATATATTCTGAGGCAAATGACTCTAGCCATGCTTTTCTGTTTTTTGGACCTTACTGGTTTCAGCCTTGAGCCTCAGTTTTCCTATCTGTGTCATGGGAGGAATAAAGAAAGCAACTTGGATAGGCATTAGGCCCACGACAGTGGTGTGTGGGTCTCTGCTCTGTTGAGACCTTGGCCCAGAGTCCACTCACTCACTGTCTTCATCATGCCTGTACCTTCAGTACTGACCAAGTGCCAGGAAGAGGTCAGCCACATCCCTGATGTCCATCCGGGTGCGTTCCGTCCCAAGTGCGATGAGAACGGTAACTATATGCCACTCCAGTGCCATGGGAGCACTGGCTACTGCTGGTGTGTGTTCCCCAATGGCACCGAAGTCCCTCACACCAAGAGCCGCGGGCGCCATAACTGCAGTGGTAAGCAGGGGCCACTATGTCAGTAATCTAAAGGACTAGGAAGCAGTAGGAAGGCTGAGGGTCCTGAGGGCCGTCCTAGTAAACATGGGAGTCAGGACAGGGGTTGACCACTCTCAGTCATGCATCTGGCTCTTCATCCACCTGGGCACTCCCCTGTGTGCCTCTATCCTCTCTCCTCACATTCTCCACACACTGTCCTACACTGGAGGCCCCTACCTCACCATACCCTCTAACCATATTATATACTGTGGTGCCTCCTTTCCCAGGCACAAGGCCATACCCGACTGGGAAATATGCCTTTGTGCACACTGGCAGCAAAGTGTGTGTGTGGTGGGGTATGAACAGCACGGTGATTCCTTTGTAGAACCACTGGACATGGAGGACCCATCTTCTGGCCTGGGCGTGACCAAGCAGGATCTGGGCCCAGGTAAGGGGGCCCATGGAGGGGGCCACCCACACTTTGGTGGTGCAGCATGACACTGGGCCATTTTTCCCATCACTGGGCTGGCTGGCTTTTACAGAATAAGCTGGTGGCTGGAGGCAGAGTGCTGAAGCCCAGCATGGGGCAATGGGGGAGGCAGGGTCAACAACAGGAAAGCCACCATCAACTTCTGCTTCCCTTCCCAGTTATGATGTGAAGACGGCGGCTAGCTCTGCACAGTGGCGGCTTTCCTGCTCTCCTGTGCCCCAGCCTTCCTACCTTCCCTGACGTCACATCCCACTTCCTGTCTCCCTGCACCTTGGGGCTTGAGGCTGGTGTCTGCTTCATCATCCCCCGACACGACAAAACCAGAACAGAATGAGGATGCTGGAGGGCCCTGCTGCCCACCCCCATCTCAAGGGACATAAAGCTCAGAGTGGGCAATGCTAGGTAGACCCCCATTTCTACCCTTTAGCAGTCTCCAATGTGGGGCTCTATGATGTAGGCCCACAGACAGGGATAAGGAGGGGTGCTCTACTTGACCTATATTGGACACATCTGCCGTCTTCTCCTCAAGGAAGAACCCAGGCCCTCCTTCCAACAACCCTTCCTCATCTCCTGCCAACCCCCCAGGTCCCTTGCTCAGCCAAGCTTGTCAGCAGCCTGTAGGATCATGGCTCATGTGACAATAAAAGGTAGTGAGTAGAACATTCTTGCTCCTGGCTCTTCTGTTGAGATCCAATTTGTTTACCCTAGGAAAGTCAATGAAAACCTTAAACCTAGTCATCTAGGTAGCCAGGGTCTATGGAGCCTGGGGAGGTGGGCCGTGGATACTTAGTACCTGTTCAACATTCAGAAAGACACAGACTCTTGCCCAGTTTAAAAAGCACAGCTCATCATGTCCCAGCTTCCATTTCTCATGTCCCCAATTCCATTTCTGTACTAAGAAAGTGTGATGACAGATGGCAATGGACACAGGGGCCTAGTGTCAGGAATGGATGCAAATGGGGGCTGCCACCAGCTGGCCACCTGTGCAGGACTCAGGGCTACTTAGCTCCAATCCATTGCTGCTGGAAAAGGAAACAGATCCCTGATAAGCCCAGGAGTCTGAAATGAACATGAGTGACATCGTTCCGGTTTTACATTTAAATACTTCTGAGTCAGCACACCAATGAGACCCTCCTCTGCAGTCTGATGGAGACCAACACACTTGTAATGAAGGGAATGGCTGTTCACGTCAGTGGTGTCCCAAGGCTCTGTGCACAGGGTCTCCAGGGACCTCCAGCAGGAGCCTGAGGTGAAATGCTTAGACTTCTGGTGTTTCACAGGACTCCAGGCTGAGGTGGCCTTTGAATGCTTATGCAGAGGAAGCCAGAGGAGCATTGCCATCCTCCTCCCTTGGTCTACCCCAGCAACAGTCCCAACACACACATGGACTTTGTTCACTTCTTGCCTTCACCACCAAAGAACTATTCCCTGGCTAGAGGGCAATTCTCGGCCTCATTTACTGGCCCTTCCACCCTTCCCATGGCAGCCACCTCGCTCCACACCATCCCAACTCCAAAGCTTCCAAAGGCTCTTTGGTCACCTGCACTCTCTACCATGGCATCTGACCCACCTTCAGCTCTCCTCAAACTCAGAGGCCACCTCCTTCAGGGAGCCCTCCCTGAGGCGCTTTGCCGAGGCCTTTCTTTAGCAAACTGTCCTCCTCACAGTACCGTAGGGCCTTGACATGCTCCTGTGCTCCTCCAGGGTTCCCACACTACCTTTCCTAGTCAGTAACAATGCAGGTCCACATGCACAGGGAAACTCAAACCTTTACATTTAAAGTCTTTTATTTTAAGTTCTTAAAAAAAAAACACAGCTGGAAAACTGATAGGACAAGGCCTTGGGATAAGCCAGGGATCCAGGGAATGGGATGAACTCTAAGTGGGACCTCGCTGGGTCTACAGAGCAGAGGGAGGAAGGTCCTGAGGCCTTTGGGCATGGTGGATTTGAAGGGGGAGAGGCAGGTCACTTAAAAAATATATATATATACTGTACACATCTTATGCAGCACTCAGAGGGAGTGGGTGTGTTTCATCCCACTTCCTCTTGGGACTGCCTCCTCCTTGCAGGCTCACTGGCTAGGCCAGCAGCACATGCTGTTGTCAGCCATCATCTTCTGTTGAGGGAGGGTAAGTTAAAAAGTCCAGTCCCAACTCACACTGGCCAAAGGTCAGAGGTCTGGGGACAGCCACACTCTGACAAGACTCTAGAAGGAAACAAACCAGGCTTTGGTCACATATCCTGAACTTTATCTCCACAAGGAGAACAAAGCTAAGGGATGTTGCTTGGCCACCAGCCTCGCTCAAGATGTGGCATGTGGCTGATGTACTTGCTAGCAGTGCCCCTCAGTCCCACTGACCCTGGGGAAGGGAGTTGTTGTCTCTCTGGCTCCCTCTCTTACCTGTTCTATGTGTTGGCCCTCACACGGCAGGCTCTGCTGTCTTCTTCTGTGAGGAGAGAAGGGCAACACCACTCTTAGTGCAGCGGGTCCTCACCACTGCTGCCCCACCTCACAGGGCAAGGCAGGGGTGATACCTCATGGGTGTCTTCAGAGCCACACCCCTGTAGCTTCCACTGCTAGGCTTTCCCGTGCTACCACGCCTGGACCAAACAGCCTTTGACCTCATGAAATGGATGGCTGTCTCTTCAGTGAGCACCCCCACTGGTCAGGACATGTGGGCCAGGCATTTCCTCAAATCCCTTCTCACCTGGGAGCTGGCTGTATCACCCCTTGCCCACTCTTCCTCACAAGGTCCATTATAACTTGAGTCTGGGTGTTGGAAGGGGAAGGGTTCGAATTTCTGGCCCAAGAGCTCCCAGGAACTCAATCTACCTTTTTCTTCTTCTTCTTGATCTGTGAGTCAGGGTCTTTGGCTGACGTCTTCTTTCCTTTCTTCTTTCCCTTTTTGTCCTTGCTTTTTTTTTCTGAGGGAAGAAAATGAGCTCTGATACTGAGTGGGTCGGTGTCAGGAGGCCCACAGCAGCTCCGAGCTACTATGCCACTGGGAAGCCAGCCCTGGTGGGACCAGGTTATCCTTCTCGCTCCATTCTTCCTGTCCATGGACTACACAATCTAGGGCCTCAATACTAGCCATGCCAAGTTCTTTACCACTGAGATATATGTCCAGTCTGGAACTAACTTTAAGAACCCCTCCCCCATGTCCCTGGATGTGCAGATGGGCTCGTGTGGCTGCTGCAGGTGTCAGAGCAACCCTCCTGCCTGCTTACCTGTTCCCTCATTAGATAGCAATGGAAGCAGGCAGAGGCTGAGGCCCAGCTCCAGGATGAGAACAGCTGCCTTCCCTAATGTCAGAATGCTCCCGCCATGCTCCTGCTGCTGTGTCCTCTCCTGTTCTCACCTGATCTCTGTATCCCTCTAGTCTGCTTCTGGAGGACTGGCCCAAATGGGTTTCTCAGATGCCAAGTCTGTTTAAATTACTGTGTAAAAAAGACTGCATCATTCGGAACTTGAATTTTGCATTAATAAATGTTGGTGAATGCTAAATAAAAGATTACTTAGTCTAAAAGAAGCCCTACCCCACACTTATTTAACCCCATGGGTTCCCGACACCAGATGGCCAGATACCTCTTCTCCCAGACTCTTGCCACAGATGGGCAGACAATGCACAAAAGAGAATTTCCATGCTGGGCGTGGTGGTGCATCCTTTTAATCTCAGCACCCAAGAGGCAGAGGAAGGTGGATTTCTGTGAGTTCGAGGCCAGCCTGCTCTACATACTAAGCTTCAGGCTGGCTAGGCTACATAGTGAGACCCTGTCTCAAAACAAAGCAAAAGTGGACTGCCCAGCAAAAGTGGCCTTTCTTTCTCAGAGCCTGTTTTCCATTTAGAAAATGAAAACCAAAGTCCCCACTGCCTTGGGCTGGCAGGGCAACTCCAAAGGCACCTGGGTGCAGGTTCCAGCATGGAGAACAGTAAATGCTGCTTTCACTGAGGAGGAGCTGAATTCCAGAGGAAAAGATGGGTTCCAGATAAGGATGCATGCACATTCCATACCTCAGGAACCCACAGTGGACCTCTGGTGTGAGGTAGGTTGGAGTGGAGTGCTCCCTGTTTTCCATCCTTGTGAAGCTGGAGTTCAGCTTATGCTTTCTAAAAGCTGACCGTGGGTGTAAATGCTGGGCACTGCGAGGGTCTCCTGGGCTATGGGGAGGAGGGGATGCAGCCCAAGTGCCCCGCAATCTACTTTTGGCTTTGCCACCAGATGCCTGTTGCTCTAGACAAATCACTTCCCAGGCTCTTGTTCTTTGTGGAAAGATTGAGATAAAGAGGCCTGCCACCCAGCCCTGCATCCGCAGTGTATGATGGGGGAGTAGTCACTTACTTTTACTGGATTTCTTCTTTTCCTTCTTGTTCTTTGTGTCATTCTGCTGTCCACTCTCAACTTTTAACCCCAGCTCACTTTCGGGCTTCGCCTTGGCCCCTTGGGAGCCAGATGATCCCTTCCCCTTGCCATCAGCATTTACTTCGTCTAGCTTTGATTTTGTCTTGGAAGTCCCAGAGGCCTTCTTCTTGCTCTCTGGGGCCCCTGCTGCTAGCTGGTCCCCCGACAGCTTCCGCTTCTTGCCCTTCTTCCCACTCTCCTTGATGGCCTCTGTGGCCTTCTGCCTTTCCTGCTCCAGCAGTTCTGCCAGAACCTTCACCACAGAGGCCTGCACCTGCGCCTCGCTCAGGGACCAGGACTGTTCCCGGAGGCACTGGGTGATGCTGTTCTGCAGAGCCTGTGTGGGTGTTGCTGAGGTCCAGGTGCTTTTCTTAGCCTTCTTGGGCTTCGGAGGTGTGGTGTCTGAAGAGGTCTCTTTCCTACCTGTGGATCACAGGTCTCGGAGGTCACAGGTCTGGAAAGCTGAGGGACAGATCTTACACAATATATGAGAACTGACGGGGTGCACCTCCTTACAACTGTACAGATGGGAAACTGAGGCCCTGGGGGTCACTATTCCTCATCATCCCCCATGCTCATGCCTTACACAGGAATCTCACCCTAGCTTCCAGCACCACTCTATGTCCTCACATCAAAAACTACACCCATTTATAGCTGGAGATGGACAGTGACCCCAGAACGTTAATGAGAGGGTGGGCCTGAAGTCTGCCAAAAAGACCAAGGGATGGGACACAAGTGACTCAGATGGGACACAAGTGACTCAGGATCTACATCTGCCTTTATCAATCTACTGTAAGGCTTTGGCCAGATCACAGTTCCTTGAGGCCTGTTTTCCATTGTAAAACAAGAAGCTAGAAATACAATGGTGTCCTTTGCCATGAATTATAGATTTATAAAACAGGAGAAGGTATTACAGACTACTGTTCAGCTCTTGTCTGTGGACATTCACTGGCTCCTTGGCCCATCAAGGCTGGGGCCAGAGGCAGATAGGGGGAACTCTGGGTATGCTGTGTATGCATGTGGTGGCTGACTAAGCAGGTTTACTGCCTGCCAGAGTGACTTCTGGTGCAGCCTTTGTTTAGAATTTTCCACGCCTCTGCTTGCCTTTGATAATTGTGTGCTGACTA